CGGGGCTGCCGGGCCAGGACCTCCGGCTGTCCCTGCCAGCCCGATTTATCCTATTACCCTATCATGCACGGTTTCAAAGCGTCTTTGCAATAGCTCTTCCTTCCTTACTTTAAAGGCTCACCAAGCTGCTAGGGAGGAAGGGAGTGATGTGGAGCAATGCAGCAACAGCACCCTGGAAAAGCTGTACTTTGAGCAACCAGGAGAAACTTGGAGGGTCAACAGTGACATAAAAGTAACTGCAGTAACAACATGCCAGAAGCCAGTGCCCTAGCGGGCAGCACTTCAGAGCTGGTGTCCAAGAAATGCGCCTGAAAGGTCAGATGCAGAGATAACTCACAAAAGCAACAGAGATGCACAAGGACCCAGAGGTTCAGCACCACATTGCTGAATATCCACACAGTGAGCTCAGTCTGAGTGCCCTGGCGCAGCCACCCGGGAGGGGTTTGGGAGCACAGCAGGGGAGGGGAGGTAGGCTATTTCAACACCCTGGGAAGCCATGGGCAAACAAATGTGCCAATAAATTACTCAAATTTGATTAGCAAGTACTTAAAGGCATTATTCTGCTTAGCATTAGCAAACAGTTGCGTAACCCACTCATGAACTGACTGCAAACCTTGGAAGCTCTCTTTAAACAACAACGTTCTGATATTCCATTTGGGGAGAAAAAAATAAAAAGCTCATTTGCCTCAAGGTATTAGGTCAAATTATAGTATACACCAAGTACATTCACAACAATTTTTGATTGCTGTGAAAAATATATAAATCTCAGGAGGCTTATCACTAGTTTCTTTTCTGATCTAATAAACATAATATAACCAATTTTAACACGCATGTGGAAATGCTTTTCTCTTATTGAAAGAAAAACTCTGCTAGAATAAAGATATGTGTGCACCTTAAAACACACAAGAAAAAAGATGACTATCTTTTGGGAGAATGTACCTGGAAGATAATGGCTGATGGAAATGAACACCAGATACCCACACACAGCCTGCATATATAGACAGACGGACAAATAGGATTCACATAAATTTTAAAAGCAGGAAAATGCACACCAAAAAGTGAAGGTAATAACAGCAAGAGCAGAACAAAATCCAAATCTATGAGATCGCTTTACAAAGAAAGGTAAAAGAGAAAAAGAATTTAGTAAGAAAACACTGTGGGGTGCACACTCCCACCTTCTCTCCTTCTTCTGACTCCCCTCCCTGCTCCCACCATATCACACACCAGTTAAAAGGATCAAAACAATGTAAATTTTGTTGTTTGCCTTCCCAAAAGCAAGAATTCAGAACAGCCAGTACAATGAAGATGATAAAAATCTTTTAAAACATCGTCATCATCAGGGATGTGTCTATTGCCGTCTTCCTTACCCCTTCATTTTGTTCCTCCCTTTTCCCTAGTTTTTCCTGTTCTCCACTGCTTTCCTCTCCCTCTTTTTTACGGTACCCAGGATATAGCTGGAATTGTTACCCACTTAGAGACACATTTCTACCTTTCATTCCTCAAGAGAAGATAAGACAAAGACACCTGCAGAAGTCCTTTGGATAAAATGTTGTACTTTGAGTAAATTGATTGTTATCATATAATTTGTTGTACCAGGGTTTACAGTAAAACTATCCCCAGGAACACTCTTATGACATTTCCAGAGGAAGGATATTTTTGTTATTGTTGCTTCCTAGACCAGAAAGGTCCATTTTTACTTTAGCTCATTTTAAAAAGTACAGACTTTCATTTATAAAGCCTTACCTGATTAAATTCTGGCAAACTTGACATCCTGCAGGACATCTGTGACAACAAATGAATAATTAATGCATGCATGTATAAAAGAAAGTACCTGCAATGGTATTCTTGAAATATCTATTCACTCGTGGAAAAATTCTAATCAACAGAATTAAAGGTTGTGTACTTCTGCATTCAACCTAGAAAGATTTACTGCACAGCTTCAGTGATTTGTTTAGAATTTTGCATCTCAGATTGTATGTCAAATCTGCATTTCACAGATGAGTTATCATTTACACTGTCCATGTGTTCAAAACAATATGATCCGAATTACAAGTTTTCACCCCTGAGATGTGATTTCACCAAATTTATTTAGGTAATACAACCTATTAGTTACACCATCTGGAGGGCACGATCTGGAAGGTTTGTATTTTCAATTCCTCAAACCTGGATTGAACATTTGATTTGTTTTCTTACTGTTCTCACATTCTTTGCCAGCCTGAGCAGAAACCTGCATCTCAGAGTACCATAAGCAACAG